ATTTTACAGATGAGAATACAGAGGCACATGAGGTTATGACTTGCCCGAATTCTCCTAGCTAGTAAGTGGTAGAGCCAGGATTAGAACCCAGAAACCTTTGCTCCAGAATCTGCACTCTTATTTACTGGATTTTACTGCCTCTAGACAGCCACCATTCTGCTCCTATAAGCTATGGCATCGCAGACCCCTACCTAAGCTTGGATTCAAGTATATGCTGATGGTGAATTATCTGCTCACTTGACTTTCATTTCCTTGTAACTAGACTCAAAATTTGGAACTCTTCTTATTACATTAATTTGCTAAAAATAAAAATTAAAATTAAAAAAAAAGTTTCTCTCTGTAAGAGAAGTTTTCAATTGGCAACAAATATATCACTCCAAAATTGGCATTGCAGTAACAACTAAGATTTGTAATGATGGACAACATTCAGAAAACTTAAGTGAAATTCCACGTTTAATTTCCAAATGATGCAAAAGTAGGATAGTCAAGAAATAATCCAAGTAGGTAACTTTTGAGCTGAAGAACATACCCAGTGAATGGAACAAGCTCTGTATATTCAAGTTAAAGAAAGAAGTTTATTATAGCCAATGGAGGCTGACCATAGACAGAGTGGTAGTGGATTCATTGGGGAAGAAAGACAAAGGTAAAGTTGTATGCATCATTTAAGAAGTGTAGGCATTACTCTTGGTTTAACATTAAGCCAATGAAGGACATTAAAGAGGAGCATAAAATTGTCTGATTTACTTTTGAAAGTTCACTCTGGTCACTTATAGAGATTGGATATTAGGGAGATGAGAGATGAAATAGGGAGAACAATTAGAAGGCTATTATAGTTGTCCAGGCACCAGGGAGGTACTGAGGCAAATGGAGGGAGTGCTCAGATTTAGAATACACTGTGGACTTTCCATAAGACAAGACATGAAGATAATAATAAATGAGAGGAGTAAAAAAAAAACCCTAGGATTGGAATCTGAAAAAAATGGTGGGTGGTGAGGCCATAATTAGAATATTTGGATTGCAACTGACTTCTCATTTTGTCCATGTAAGTTTGAGATGAAAATTAAACATCCATGTAGAGAAAGCTGGTGACTACAGGACCAAAAATGTGCTACATATAAAAAAATCTCTCTCTACCTGCATAGAGCACAAAGTATGCTGATAGTGATCTCCATAATAGTCAAAACTGTTAAGACAACATGGGAGGCTGCCTTCAGATAGGGTGTTATGAACTTTATCAAAGCAGTAGCCTAATTGGCCTGCTCAACTACTTATAGTTACAACTGTAAACTAATTCCTTTGAATTAGTATACTCAAATGTAAAAAAATAAATTTGTTTCTCAGTCATCCATTCATACCCTTGAGCACATTAGCACAGTAGTGTCTGTGGCCCATGCTTTGAGTAGCCTGACACCCATGGGAAATTCAAGGGGATACAGGATCCTGTACCAGCTTTAGCTGAGGATATAATTTAGGGACCATTCAGGGCTGGCATTGAATGGAGTTGGATAGCTTAGTGAGTTCTCTCAGCCCCACCCTGGGTGTGCTACAGGCCTCACAAGTACAGCATAGGCAGGAGATCTGCTGGGTCTAAAGAGTCTTTGTAATCAGAGATCAGTAAAGATACCAGTGGAGAAATTTTCTCTAGAATGCCTTAACTGAACAAAGAGATCGAAGATAAGAACCTAATCTGGTATCAGAAACTGACAGGCCTTAACAGCTATTGTCCCCTATAGATTTGCCCTTTAGAATTCAGGGGGGAAAAAAGGGAAAGGAAGCCACCGTCAAGGGTGAGATTGGACATTCAAGGACATGCAGAAACAAAAGTCCAGAGGCCCCATTTCAGTCCTTGTTATTATCAGGCTCTCTGAAAGCCTGAAAGAGTCTTCTACAAAATAATAAGGGCAAATCACTGACTCTCTGGCCACTAGCAATGTCCATTACACATTCAGTTCCAGGGCATGATAGGTTCTTCATCTGAATCTGATTCAGTCAAAAGGATCAGGTCGAATCAGTTGTTTACCGTGAATGAGGAGTTAGAGAGACCCAGGAGGATTTCAAAATGTGAAGGGTAGGCAGGCTACAGTCAAGGATCTCTAGGGAAAGTCCCCTATATGAAAGCAATGGAAGAAGAGATGCAGTAATTGAGGTACAAGAGAATAACCTGACTACTTGGATCCTGTGCTACCAATGAAAGGGCCTGTTGACTTATTGCCTTACCAGGAGGAGCCTGTAGTTGGTCAAGTTCAGAAGTACACTTCAGGGCCGGCCGAGTGGCGCGTTGGTTAAGAGTTCTCTTGGGAGCGCGAACTCTGAGCAGCAGAGCTGCCGGTTCAGATCCCACATGGGCCAATGACACTGTGCCCTCTACAGCTAAGATGGTGAACAACAGCTCGACCTGGAGCTGGGCTGCCGTGAGTTGCTGGCGACGGTGTAGGCTGCAGTGGGGCTGGCCGGCAGCTGGCGTGCACTTTCGTGAGCTGCCATGAGCCACTGTGAGTGGCCATCCAATGGTGCACGAGCGACTGCCTCACCCAGGAAGAGTGCAATGATCAAAATACCAACATGGGCCAGTGAAGCGATGTCCTCCACAACTAGACTGAAGAACAAATAGGACAGCAATTTGTCTGTTCCCCTTCCCCAATTCCCCAATAAAATCTTAAAAAAAAAAAAAAGACGTACACTCCAGAATCACAGTAAAGAGCAGGTTCTCATTTCCTTCATGATGTGGCCTTTAGCAAAATACTTGACATTGCTGTTTACATTCCAAAGAATCAGTTGGCTAACTGTAAGTATGTGGATGAGAAGTGATATCTAACTCCTGGCCAATTCTGAGACCTCCTGAAGTACCACAGTCCTTCTGCAAAGTCCTACAGCTTGTTTCTGCTAAAGTTAAAACAGGTGGCTTTCTTAGCATCACTTATAAGTCATTACATAAAATTAAGTGACGAGCCAGGTCCACATCCCTCAAGGAATCCTAAACACAACTCTCCAGCTCAAATTGGTGCTGGTAGCAATACCCCGAGCTGGTTGGCAAAATATAAGTGGCGGTCCATGCTCAAAAAGGAGCCCAAGCTGTTTGGCTCATTGAGAGGCTCTGAGTTGGCCAATGATAGATAGATAGATAGATAGATAGATAGATAGATAGATAGATAGATAGATAGATATCAGTGAAATTGATCTGTAAACAATCCAGTATTACTGGGACTTACTCTTTGGAAGCAGGAAAACCTACCAGGAGGCAATCCAGAATGAGTTACTTATTCTGAGTGGTAGTTGAAGCACTCATTGAAAAACAGTAAATAATATTCACCATTTATTAAGAATTTAGGTATTAGGTAGTTATTAGAAATATCACCATAAGTAAGGCTCAAAAAGATTAAAAGTTACTTATTCAATGTGACTGAGAATAATAGAGCTGGGATAAAGGCAATTCTGTGTGACTTCTATCCTACGTTCACTGCACTGTACCCCTAAGCCGCTCAGAGTCAGAAACTATGTAAAATGTCTACAGATAATATCCAGAACAGTTAGAAACTCCATTCAGAGTCAGCTACACAGTTCCCTGTTCTGATCCCTGAGATCTTATTTAAAACTGAAATGTCTGAATGTGGACCAATAACATTCATGCATGGGAGGATTCCCCCCCAAATAAAACAATGTAGAATTCCACCCTATGTTTTCAGCATCCTATACCCTTGTGTCCTGGCAACAAGTGAATGAAAAGCCTTGTGAATATCTGGGCCAGGGGGGAATTGAATGAATGCAAGCTTGGGGACCCATTCTGCTGCCCCTGAGGACTGAGGAAGTCTATCTAGGCTCTTTTAACCCTGCTGTGGGGACCAGGACAGGGTCTAGCAGTGACTCGCCTTATAACTGGGTCTGAATGGAACAAGAGTAGGAATGGTGAGAGGAAGCAAACTGTGTTTCACATATTCTATATCACCAGCCACGTGGAACCTCAGCAGAACATGCTTACATACTCTACACACCTAGATGACCCCTGCAAACCTTCCAAAAACAAGGAGAGGACTATGCAAGAGGACATTCTTAGGAGAGAATGATCTTTCATTATCAAACAAGCTATAATTCCCTGAAAATAGGACTCTCCTAGCATGATCAGGAGATGTAACTGCTGTCTCCAAGAGTGGGGGACTTGGCAGGGGTTGCAGGTCTTCTGCCTGGGACAGCCCAGTTCTGTCTAAGGAGTCTTCTCAAGACCTTGGCTAAGATCGGCTCTTTAGCTTCCTGCAAAAGTCCCATGTTGATCAGAACCAGGGAGTAGGATACTGAATTCCATTAGTTGAGAGGTAGTTTACAGAGTTCCGTGAGTGAAGATCCATCATCCAGATACTGTGTTCATCTTGTTCTTTACTTCTGTCTTCTGCTTTTACTTTAAGCCTTCCCATTCTCAAAATTCTGTATCTTTTGCTAATGTTTTAAGAACCCCAGTTATGGAATGAACTATCAATTTTCTAATATCAGGCTGCCACTTAGCTGTGCAGCCTTGAAAAAGTTACCTCAGTTTTTTGTTCCTCGGTTTCCTTACCACTTAAAGGGGAATAAAAATTACATTTATACTTCCAGTTTATTGTAAAGTTTATTACAACTATGTAGAATACTTAAACCAGTGTCTGGCATAAAGTAAGCACTTAGTAGATGAAAAATGAAGTTGTTATAGGTTTGTCAAGAGCTGAGGGGAGCAGTTAAGTGTCAGAATGATCAATTAAAACAATAAGCTGAAATAAAAGTACAGTGAAGTTTTGAATCTCTTACTGCAATAGTGTAAGTAAAGAAGCTAAACAGAAGAAAACACTGGCTCCCCCAGTGTTCCATTTTTCCCTGTAGAATGCCACTGAACCACTGGATCAGAGCAGATATGAATCTCACTGTGGAAAGAGTCCAGAATAAAAGGCTCTTTCTGTTTTATGGCTCAGGGGTCAGGTTGAGGGAGAAGGGCCAGAGCGAGGGGTGGAAAAGCACTGAATATTCAGTCAGAATGCAGAAAAATGTCTTTAAGACCTACCTACCTCCCATAAGGTCTTGGCCTGAGAGGGAAGTCTCCAAACGGAAAGCCCAGGGCTAGGAACGCAGATACACTAACAGCGTGTGCAACTAATGGGGAGGGAAGGCATGAGCCCTTGACTGCAATGCCCTGCAGAGCCTGCAGTGCACTGGTGAGCACCAAGGCTGGGTGGGCAGGGGGCTTTCCTTTATGAGGCCTGCCACGTAAAGCCTGTGTCATTGCCTATGGTTGAGCCCGAAAGAGGACACATAGGATTTTGGACAGGGGCCAGATTCCTCCAGTTATTAATCACATATGCATACATACACATACACAGACACACACACACATACACACACACAGACACACACACATACACACACTATTTGGAACAATATAAATGCTACTGAAATATTCATGGGGAAGGGAGTGAGTGTTACTTCACACAACTAATTTAAAAAATTATTAATAAATATTTCTGGCCTGTAAGTTTTTTTCTCTCACAACTCTTTTTTTTTTAACTGTGGTAAGATATACATAACATAAAATTTACCATCTTAACCCTTCATAAATATGAAGTTTAGTACTGTGAAGTATATTCGCACTGTATATTCACAACCTATCTCTAGAACTCTTTTCATCTTGCAAAACTCAAAATTACACCCATTAAACACCCCCATCTCCCCTCTCCCCGCCCCCCTAATCCTTTTAACACTACCTCATACTCCTGCTGGTTCCTCCACTTTAATTTCTTTTCACCCCTATTATGTGAAGCAGTTTTTCCTCTGCATCATTCCTCAGGCCAAACTTGGAATTTCAAACTCCCCCTGGTTTTCTGCAGAATGAAATCCCAATCCTCTACCCCCAGAGTTAATGAGACCCACCTCCTTAGAAGGGACATAAGCAACCACCTCGAATACTAAGTACTCCCTTCAGAGTCTTGGCTATCCATATAAGTGGCTTATATATTTTTCCCAAACATAAATGATACTTGCACCACACAACTGCTTATAAATTTTTTTAAAAATTTCATTATAAAGTGAAATTATCAAAACAAGGAACTCAGTGAGAAGGAAAGACTACTTACTGCCTTTGCAACCATACTTCTGGAGCAATCCCTAAGACCTTATATTGCATTTTCAAATGATTTTTTTTCTGGCTCTCTAGGTGATGTGTTGACATTCTTAGATTCTCACGTGGAATGTAACATTGGTTGGTTGGAACCTCTTCTGGAAAGAGTTTATTTAAGTAGAAAGAAAGTAGCCTGTCCTGTAATTGAAGTCATCAATGATAAGGATATGAGGTAATATTGTCATATTCTACAAGATACTTCTAAGTGAGTCTTTAATCAGCAGCAACAGAAAGTACTGGTCATACCCCTAATATGTACATGTTTGCAAATCTAAGAAATGCACAGTTTGTCCATTTAAATAAATGGAAATATATGATAGATATCCTGGGATCAGAGCAGGCCACTCTGTTTATTTGATCATCACAAATTCTTAACCCTAATTAATACCAATAAATCCTAATACTCATTTTGCAGTTCTTTCCTCTTTCTATTCAGCTGAACATCAAAATATTTGGTTTCCTTAAGATTAGTTCTTTTTGTGGGAAATTATATATTTATAAGTTGTTTTCCCCCCAAATGGGCAGAATATTATTTTTTAACAAAAGTATAAGTTAAAAATCAGCAATCTAGCCAATTAGTCACTGCAAATTATACTCATAAATTTTCTTGAAGTATTATTTAAAAGTTTGTATTGATGTAAAACCATTTACCTAATCACTTGTTTCATTCATTTGAACAAGACGTGGTGTCGGATTGATTATATATGTGTATGATCTCAGGCAGCACTTTTATTTTTTTCCTGAATTAGTTACATGACAGTGGACAACTTTCAAAGAGGCATCTTTGTGTGGCCCATGAACTTTGGTTGGAGAACAATTCCTCCAGACATCGTTGCAAAAAACAGAATTAAAGAAACTGATATAATAAGGTAAGTGTGTGAAATTTAAGATTAGCAAGCAGTCATGTTTCTTTTTATAAAGGCATAGAAAGCAATTTCACAAAAAAAGTATCCCGTCATTCCATAGAACATCAAGAATTACAGTTGTAGCTAATAGGTAACCAAAAGCAAACAAAGTTTTCTTGAGAAATTAGTTTCCTACTACCAAAACTTATTTTTACACAGTCAGTTGTACCCTGAATGTAGCGAAATTCACTAATGCTATTCCCATTCTCTGGGATTTACAACCTAAGAAACATTAAGCTAGTTGAATGCTGCATACATGTTATATAAACACACATAATATTAAAATCAACATGAGTAAAAATTAAGAGAGTAAATAATAGTAACAGAAGTATCATTATAATAAGAATAGCTAAGGGCTGGCTGAGTGGCTCAGTTGGTTAAGAGCTCGCTCAAGAGTTTGAGCTCTGAGCAACAGCGGTTCGAGTCCAGCCTGAGCTGAGCAGCCGCTGAGCTGCCAACAGGTAGCAGGATGGCTCAGCTAAAAAAAAAAAAAAAAAAGAATAGCTACTGTTAGGATTTTCTTCTCCAGTCTAGTCTCACCCCTTCCATGGGAGGTGCACCGACTTCTGTGAATGAATTAATAAATAGACTCTGAAGCTGGATATGAATCAAAGTCGGGGCTTTATTGATGGAAAATCTGGATTGAAGAATACAGCTTAACCCTGAAGCCAAAGTGGAGGCTTCCTAACATTTTCCCCCCGAGTCTAGACCTGCAGGACAAGCAGGCAGACAGCCTCAGCCAAAGTAATGAGAGTCCTGAGCTTTTTACGTAGGAGAAAGAACTTACGTAGGCTCAAGCCAGCAAGTCCCAAGAGAAAGCCTGAGCCCAGACTATGCTTTGCAGCATGCTTTCCCTGAATTTACCCCTCAATAAAGCATGCCTCATCCATTGCCAGGAAGGATGCTTTCAGAATTGATACTCCTGGCCAGTGAGCTAGGATTACCATCATTGATCAAGCACTATGCATTTAACCCTCTTTATAACCCTAGTTATATAACCCTAGGTAGTATTTTCATGATAAAGATGAGGAAATTGGGACTTAAAAGAGTTAAGTAATTTTCCTGGGCATATCCAGCTAGTAAAAGAAACAATTGGGATTCAGACTCAGATCTGCCTGAATTGAATGCTCTTGCTCTGATCCTACCCTTACAGAACCTCTTTGCCTTTTTCAGACACCCATTTTGAGGGTCAATGTAGTGGCTGAGTTCAGATTATATTCAACATAAAGTTAGAAATAGAATGCATCCTGGGTAGTCTAGGAAGGACATTTGGGATACAGAGAGAATGTGTACATAGATGGTGGAGAAAGGGAGGTAGACATGGGGCAAGAATTACTTTACCCTTGAGATTGCTGTAGACCCTAAACAGAGGGCAGGCTCTCCACAGAAACCGCCCTCAGCTGTCTCAGTGGTGACCGCCAGGGGGAGTGATTACTGCCTTGTCTAATCAAATGTAGTGTCTATCCCCCATGATCCATAACAGTAGTAGGGAAGGCTCTAGAGTCACTCTTTGGGTTTAAATCTCAGCTCTAATACTTACAAGTAGTTTGAGCTTTAAAAAGCTATTTAATCTCTTTAAGTCTTTGTTCCCTTATTCTTACAATAAGACCAATAAAAGTAGCTAACTCTTAGATTGTTTTGAGAATAAATCAGATAATATCTCCCAATAGATAGATAGATAGATAGAGCTTTAAAAAGCATTTGCCACATAAAAAGATGTCAGTAAGTTTGCCTATAGTTGAGTGAGTATAGTGCAGTGAGAGATCACAGGGTCAAGCCAGAACACCTAATTTTAAGCCTCATTGGACCCTGGAAAAGCTTCTTACCATTGTGTTGTAGTTTCTTAATGGTACATACTCTCAGGATATTTGTGAAGTCTAAGTTAATACATGTGTAATACTTATAACAGTGCCTGGTACTCCCTTATCACTAAATAAGTGTTTTTTACAAATAGCATCTCTGAAGAGCCTGTGTGAGGGAGCAGAGGACAAAGGAGAATCCTAATTCCAGGCCCCGTCTTTGCTGACCCTAATCAAGCTCTGCCACCAAGAACCAGGGAACTTGTCACTTAAGTGCTATTTTGACTCCATTCCAAGACCTCTTGGCACTTGGTAGATACTCTGACATGCCTCCCAAGTCCATCACAACTGTACAGGGTACCTACACTAAAGTTTGAGCTCCCATGACAAGCAAGTATAAAAAACAAACTTTTCTTTTTGTAGGTGCCCTGTCATGGCAGGTGGATTATTCTCAATTGATAAAAATTACTTTTTTGAACTTGGAACATATGACCCCGGGCTTGATGTTTGGGGTGGAGAAAATATGGAGTTGTCATTCAAGGTATTATGAAGTGTTTCTCAAATTCTATTTGTAATTAAAAGTTTATCATTTTTTAATGGTTTTATTTTACTAATACAATCAGATATGTGACTGCCTCTGGGAGGAAATGTTACAGAAATTGTAGGGCTCCTGGATTAATGTTTTCATATTCAAGATTGAATTTGGAAGAATCAATAACACTCATGAAATTTATTAGAGCTCCCTAATATTTCATAGCACTAGTTTCTGTATCTGAATATGGGGGAAATAATTGTCTGCCATTCAGTGTAAATGCTGTGGGATTCATACTTGATATAAAATAACTCTCCTGGAACATTTGTCTGCTATATTGAAATTAGTGAAATCATTCAGTTATGGGTCATCTTGGAGAGCACAAGTGACAGAAGTACAAAAAGTGACTCTAGGGCAGGCCACCAGTATGCCATAAGAAGACACAGCAGGGAACTCTGGGTATGGATACAATCACCGATTAATAGCTTAAAAAGCCACAGCAGCAGCCATAGTGGAGAACATCCCCAAAACAACTGCTTTCCTATGGAGTGGGGGAATATATTATAGAAAGGGTATTAGTTTGAGCTCCTGGTCAGAAGAAATAGAAATACATACCCCTTTCCCTGATTCAACTAAAGCAGGAACTCATTTTACATATTGGGATTCTGTGAGGACTTCATTAAAAAAAAAATTTACACTTCAGGGGAGGGAAGGGGAAAAAAAAGATATTTTACTAATTCTAAGATGGTCCACAGCAACATACAAAACTAAATAAACCCGTTGACTATAATTTTCTATTGACAAAGATTTTAGAAGTTGAGCGTAATACTTCAGATGGGGAGGGAGAGAGTTGTTAGGTGGGTTCTCATCATTCATTGTTAATTGCCCATGGTTTATGGACAATGATTTGGTAGTTGATGCTTATCATCAAATTATTCCAGGTGTGGATGTGTGGTGGCGAAATTGAGATCATTCCTTGTTCCCGAGTGGGCCACATATTCCGAAATGACAACCCGTATTCCTTCCCCAAAGACCGGATGAAGACTGTGGAGCGGAACTTGGTGCGAGTTGCTGAGGTCTGGCTTGACGAGTATAAGGAACTGTTCTATGGCCACGGGGACCACCTCATAGACCAAGGGTTGGATGTTGGAAACCTCACCCAACAACGGGAGCTTCGAAAGAAACTAAAATGTAAAAGTTTCAAATGGTACTTGGAGAATGTTTTTCCTGACTTGAAGGCGCCCCTTGTGAGGGCTAGTGGTGTGGTAAGTTCAAGCAGCTATTTAACATTTGACTCTGTAAAAATAAAATTCCCCAAACAGTTTTGAAACTGTGTGGGAAAAAATGAATTATTCTATTATAAATAAATACCAAGGATAAGTGCAGATGAGACAAAGCATGGTTGAAGATTAAATATAGGTAAACTTGATGAAGGTTTCTAGACATCCATGTTCATTGATTAATTCAGCAAATACCTACTGAGTATCAATAAACTGGGTAGTATTCCAGAAATGGACCGATCCTTTCTTTGTGGAGCTTAAAGTTGAGTAGGGAAAAAAGATAAGAAATAAGCAAGTAAAGTGTAAATAAAACATATAACAACTCTCATTTAGGGAACTGGCTTCAAGTGATGAAGCCTAAGTTAGAGTGGTCAACCCTGGGGAGACGTTGAAGGTTAGGCCTGAAAGGTGAAAAGTCAGCCAAGCTCTAAAGAAGAGAACCCCAGGCAGAGGATGCCCTGTGCAAAAACTGTAAGACATGTGACCATCTGAGGCATTCAAGAACTAGAAAGAAGATGACTGTCGTCAGGATGTGAAAGAGGGGAAAAAGGCACCAGATGAAGTTGAAAACGGCGGAAGAATCAGATCACTTATGTCCTTGTAGGCAGAATTAAGTTCCTTCCTTCCTTCCTTCCTTCCTTCCTTCCTTCCTTCCTTCCTTCCTTCCTTCCTTCCTTCCTTCCTT